CACAGATTGGAGCTGATCCAGTATAACTACATCAGTGGAGTCGCTGGATGCCTCGCCTATGGACTCTGTTTCAATAGTGGCATCTAAGTCGGCTCTTATCTGAGAGATTTTATCTGCAAAGTAGTTGTTAAACGCATCACAGCAGGCTGTTACAGGGTTAAGTAAGGGGTTTGGCGCAGGTGGCACCTGCGTCATCTCCCTTGCCACCCTAAACAGCTCTGCTGGACAGGACTCTGCAGACGCAATACATGCAGAGGAGAAGACTCTCTTCGCTGCACGTATTGCCTCCCGATAGGAACAAAGAAAGTTCCTATGGTAAGTTTCTCTGTCTCATATGTATAGGAAGTTGATTTATTTTCTTATTTTTCCTAAATGGATATACAGTCACCCCTCCATTTTTTGCAGACTTTGGATCTGCATCCCTCGCTTATGCATGAGGGACAAATGGAGGGGCATACAATGGGGCACAGCCCCGCAGTGTGTTCCCACATGCCCCCGTGCCTCCATTCATGCCTATGGGGCTTGAATATGTGCTGGTTTCCATTTTCACGGAGGGGTCCAGAACGGATCCCCTGTGAAAACAGAGGGGCAACTGTATTCCAGTATGGTTCTCTACATTCTTCAATTGACTTAATTTCTCTACCTTGTAAAATAAATCTCCTCAATTTTATTTTTTTGTGTGTATATGGATCATTAGAGGGTGAAGGGACTTGTCCTTGGTTGTCAAGAAATTCAGAGACATTGTGGAAGATTTGAGTTTCTCTTGTCTTAGGCTGTGGACTCTTCCATATATGCCCCAAAGCCTTGAGATTTTGTCTGTCACTCTTAGGACCTTATCCCACGCTGCTCTCAAAAGTGGCAAGAAAGAGATATGAGCATCATTGCAGTACTATAGCGCTAGTATAAATATGGCGCTAGCGCTATAATAGCGCTATGGATAAGCTAGCGCTATTGCAATGCCCGCTGAAACCGACATTCAAAAGAACCCGAATGATGCTGCATTCCGAGCGGTTTCTTGTTGGATTCTGAGTGACGTCGTGTAATCACCCGGAAAACTATAGCGCTATAGCGCCTGATTCTTAGCCGATTCTGAGCGACGTCGTGTGATCACCCAGGAATGTATAGCGCTATAGCGCCTGATTCTTAGTGGATTCTTGCTGCTTTTGGCCCCGTGGGATAAGGTCCTTAGGTTGGCTTTAGCTTTCACCCAAAGCAGCAACATGCAAAGGGATTGCAGCCCATTCCCTTTGTCTGCTGGAACTCAGCAGAAGCTATTAAGAAGCCAGCCAACCAGGAGCTTTAAAGCCCTAGCTCTTATCTATATAACACTGACCTGGAGTGGATTTCTTGGTCACTCTATATCCAGGGTCAGGATCATGCAGCCTCCAGTTGTTGTTTGACTGCAACTCCTAGCATTCCTCGCCATTGGCTGTGCTGCTCAGGGCTGGCGGGAATTGCATTCCAACTACATATCTAGGAAGGACACGTGATTCTCAGTCTTGCTCTATCCCAGTGGTGTGGAATATTTTTCAGCTCAAGAGCCAAATTCAATTTCAGAGAAGCTCTTATATCCCAGAGGTGGATCAGACCAAAGACAAATGAGTGGGAAGAAAAATACCTGATAATACTTATAATGCTTTGAATGAAACCTTAGGCCAACATAGGCAATTTGCTTAGCATGCACTAATTGCATTTGCCTTAATATCTAGTTTGATCCTCCAGAGACACATTTCAACTTTTTAGTTGAACTTGTCCAAATACAAACAGGGGAAACTGCCAAAACAATGGTATAATGGGGAAAGGCCATCCAGGAAGTCCAAAAACTAAGGACTTCATCACACCAGGGAAATCCAGTGCAGAAATGGGGTTTTTAATAAAAAAAAAAAAAAAAACAGCAAAAGCGGGTAGATTTTCAGATGACGTTGATATTAAACTATGGTTAACCTGAACAAAAAGTAGTCAAAAGCCTCTTCTTTTTACTTTTGGAAAATCCGGAAAGTAAAAAGGAGAGACTTTTGACAACTTTCTGTTTGGGTTAACAATACTTGAACAGTGATGTGTGAAAAATCAACCTACTTTTGCAGATTTTCCCCAGCTTTTAAATCCCGTTTCTGCATGGGATTTCCCCCATGTGATAAGGTCCCAAGACTGGAATTCCTTGAGATCTACATTTGGCCCCAGGGCTTCACATGCCTTCACCTGTGCTCTTTATTGTATCTTTAAGCTCTCTTTCTGAGGAGAGTTTGTTGTTGTCGTTGTTGTTGTTTTCAGAGCAGGAGTTACAAAAGAACTGGGATCTCAAGTATGAGAGTTGGAAAGACTGTTAACTTTTTTACTTTTTTGCCTGATAAGACACCTACGGGTTTAACAGCTATAAAACAAACAGAAATTCACCAGGTGAAGCTTTTCCCAATGATTAGACAAAAGCCAGAGTGGTGTAGTGGTTTGAGCATTGGGCTACAAATCTGGAAATCAGGGTTCAATTCCCCGCTTGAACAGGAAACCCAATAGAGTGACCTTGGGCAAGTTGCATACTCTTAGCCTCGGAGGATGGCAATGGCAAACTCCCTTGGAAGAAACATGCCAAGAAAACCCTATGATAAGGTTCGCCTTAGGTTGCCATAAGTCAAAAATGCCTTGGAGACAACAGCAAAGACAAAAGTGAGGAAAATGGCTCCCCTGCTAAAATTCTGTTTATAACCCACAGTTAAAGGCATGTACAGGGATCCTGAAAAAGGAAAAAGAAATAAAAGGAAGGGGGAAACAATAACTGAGGTACATAAGCAATCATAAGATTGGGAGTGCATCTGGTCTGTTTTAGCCAGCTCCCCTCCTACTGCTCATTTTGGGGAAAGATGTGTACTTTCTTTCTTACTTCTTTTGTCTCTTGCATGCATTTGCCGCATCTGTCAACTGATAAAGGCACTTCAAAAAGAAGCAGCCTGTTGGGCACTTTAGTCAACACCCTCCAGTCAGCTTGCATTTTCTCTGCTTTATTGCCAAGCTTTCTCACTGTCCCTTGGAGAAGTTCTATTGATTCTGAAGCCCACTCCCATCTCGCTCCAATTTAAAAGAAGAAAATGATGATGCCAAGCCTATAATGGTGCACTAATCGCTGCTGTTTATCACAACAGCATGAACAGTCAGAATGCCAAACATAAAAAACAACAAACAGCAAACAACCTTCTTTCCAAAGCAATACAAACAAAACAATTAATACAAGGAAGGCCACCTTGACACTAGAAGAGCTCGTTGCCAGTATTTTTCTATTTGTTGTTGCTATTAGTATCATCATCACCACAACCACTACCATCATCAAAAAGCTTTCAGCTCATCTTGCTGCAACAAATACCTCCTGCAAAAGCCATACAATTTGAGTTTCTGCTGGCTGTCAGCTCTGAAGAGGTGTGAGAGGGTTTGTGGAATGAGTGCAGCACTGTTTTATTTGGAAGCAAGTCTCTTTCCTTTTGTTCAGTCATACTGGAGAGGTTAGAGACCAATTAACATATTGAGAGGAATACACAAGAGTGATTTTAATGGAAATGACAGCTGAAGAAGAACCATTTGTGTCCTCCCCCCTCTTCCCACTCACCCATTCAGGCCCACTACTAAAGCCCCAGTGCCACTCCTAAGAAGATTATGTCTGATCAGAGAACTGAGGGCCTGCCACCCCATCACAAAGGTTGTGCTAGACATATTAACTGTCGTAACCACAAGTGCCCAGTGCTTACCTGTCTCTTAGTGGTCCGCACAGTTGTGGTGGCTTGGGTTTGGCTGGCGCTGGATGGGCATGTCTCACTGAGGCCCTGCTGAACAACAGAGTCTGTGGCCTCTTGGTACATCGGAGAGCTTGAAGGGTAGCCAGCCTGACCACAGTATTCTGTCTACAATAGCTTTGGTCGCATGCTGCTGAACCAGGCTTCTTAGCTCTGCAGCTCATGAAAGAAGAAAAGGAGGGAGGGGGAATGAAAGCAAGAGATCAGGGAGAAGCGACAGAGTGAGGATGCTCCCTCAGATTTGTGTACACTGAGAACTGAAATGCACAAAGGACAGGGCAAGACAGCAGAGGCTCACAGCCTGACTTGCTCTCATTATTCCAGCACACTGACTTTTGCCTGAGGCTCACTCCCTCAAATTCAGCTGTTTCAAGTGCAAAATGGTAAGAAGTGGGGGGGGGGGAGTTTGATCCCACTGGAATCACTAGATTATAAGAACTGTGGAAGGGAAAGGCTGAGCTGAAATTCACCTTTCTGTGTGCTGGGTTTGTTTTTGGCTTCACCGCAAAAGCAAAGAGGTAAATGAGCAAACAGAAGAGATTTCATCCGTATTTTTAGATGGATTTGCCCATGGCTGTTAGCTTATCTTTTGATGAGTGAAAAGATGTCATGCTCCTTCTGAAAAGTGTAAGGGGGAATTAATTCAGGATTCATTGGGCTCCTCCCCGAGGTCGCCCCCAGATGCGCCGGCCGTCCGCACGACCGGCGCATTGGGGATGACCTCACGGCGCAGCGCCCACATGCGCTGCGCCATTTGAGCCAGGGAAAGTGCGCCCGCCGCTTTTAGGGCGCACTTTCCCTTAGATCTAAAAGGAGCGCCAATTTGGTGCTCCTTTTAGATGCGCCGACGGTGCGCCGCGGTGCGGAGGCTCCGCACCGCCGGCGCTCCGTCCGGCGGCGGCTCCAGGGCCTCCGTGTGCTGAGGCCCTTAGTGCCTTACTATAATGGTGTTGTGTACACATCTGTCTTGTAATGAACCTAGAATGTGGACTTTTGTGGGGACTGCAGCTCTTAGAATCCTTCAGCTAGCCTGGCCATTCTAGGAGCCATAGTGCAAAAAAGTAACTTTTCCAAACTATAATTGAATGGGGAGGGAATTGGCCAATCTGTTCCAATTGGAAGCAGCTGTCCAAGATTTCCAGCCAGCCTTTTAAGCTTTGGCTGCCCCCTGAGATCCTAGTCATTACAGATGAACTTGGGACCTTCTACATGCAGAACATATGTTTGCTCTTCCCTGTCCCCCAGCCTCAACTCATCTCCCTCTCTGAACAATTCTCTCTCTCCAGTCAAAATACTGCTCATTTGTTGGCTCTTGAGTATTCCTGAATTTACTGGCCTTTCCTCACTACTCCATGCAGCCCTGCAGGTTATGCATACTTGTCCCCATATAAAAATTTTGGAGAGAAATGTGCTTCTTAGCTCTGAGCTACCTAACAGCTTATGCTTGACAGATACTGGCAGAGTTAAAACCTGGGACCTTTGGCTCTGCACATGGCTATTCAGAGGGTTGAATCACAGCTTGAGGTATGTGATCAAGCCCTACACTGGTTCTGCCTACCTCAGATTGCCATTGGATACTTCTGGAGCAACATGGTCTTCTATTGTGTGTCCTTTGGCTGCAATGTGGTCCTCACTGGCTTGCTTCTTGCCCTATCTCTGAGTTCATCTATCTCTCTTAACTTGGCTTGTTCCCTTGTCCTCATTTCTGGCTTGCTCCTCCATCTGGCTCCTGGTTTGTCCTTTTATCCTGACTAAAACTCATCAGTTCTGGCTTTGCCTAGGGCTCTGACCCCAGCTGCTCCTTGATTTTAGCTTCTGCTTCCCTCTGGATGCTGATTTCTGGTCTGTTTGGCTCTAACATTCTGGCATGTCTTCTTGCTGGGTCTTAGCTCGGTTGATTCTGCTGCATACATCGCAGTCCTCTCACTATCTCACAAGGTTTATTGTGTTTGTTTTACAAAGAAACAGAGATCTTGTGTTTTGTTTCAGTCTAGCATGCCAAGTTCTGCAGTACTTACTTTGCAGGAGCAAAGATGCACCATAGTTTGACCACATGAAGTATTTGTGTAGCTTACTTTAATTGCCAGTGTTATTAGTTTAGGCCAGGAAACATCAACAAAGAAAGAACATACAGTAATGAGACCAAAAAATAATAATCAGATTACCACATTTAGTGTGGAGGTGAGGAGATCAAATTGAGTATCCTCACTGAGAATGGCTAGTTAAATCTTGATAGGACTTTTCTACATCTTCCAGCTTTCAGGAGGAGAGGCTAAAAAACACCACAATTTGGTGGCTTATCTTTCTTAGACGCAAAGAGAATGCTAAGCAGAATAGTATGTATTAGACATTGTTGATATCCTTTGATAAATTCTGTCTTTATAGATGAGGGATGGGCAGCTTCAAACAGAGAAGGGACCATTTTTCCTTTTGCACCTGCCTAGTGGACCACAGCAGGGCATTTCAGCTGCCCAAAGTGACATGTGTCACTTCTGGCTGCCATTTTGGTATTTTCAGCTGATTTTATTTCTTTTTTGTGTGTGTCTGTTTTGGGAGGTAGAGGGCAAACTGGTGCCTTTTTATGCAATTTTAGGAGATATCAGGTGATTTGGGGGCAACTCCCCCCCAAAATAAAATCAGTCAGAAAATGGGAGGATCTGGTAAAGAATTTGGTATAAAAATATTTTACATGACGACAGCGGCTAGAATTACATATGCCACCCTTTGGAAACAAAACAAAGTACCTGATATATCTGAATGGTGCTGGAGATTATTAGATTATATCCAGATGGATAGACTAACTGGTTTATTAAGAGACATCCCTAATAAGAAACATAAAGAAGAATGGGAAGAGATTGAGAGCTGGATACAAGTAAATTTACAAAAATAAGAAGATTAAGGGGAGGGGAAATAAATTAAAAAAATTAAAAAATAGAGAAAAAAAGAAAAGAAAAAGAAGATTGTGGTCATCAAAAAGGTTTATAAGATAATACATAAGTAGAAAAATTGTGCAGTAAAGACATCACATATTTTTTATCTTTGGGTTAATCATGTATAATTTCTAATGTAGTATAACAATATGTTGGTGTTATTATATACAAAGAATCAGATCAACAGTTATAGTAAGTGTCATTAAGGAAATTGTTTGATTATTTTCAAGATTTATCTAATGGAAATGTTCAAAATAGAAGGAAACTGATTAAAGTAATTTGGGATGTAGAGATGAAAAGAAACAATGATTAACTAAATAACAAACTTAAGGAAGTTTCTTTTTTAATTTAGAAGGTACATTCAGAATATAGGAAGACAGAATTACAAATCTGAATACGTGTAAGAAAACATGGAAGATTGACTGAATGTAACTATATTTGTCATCTGTTGTATTTTTTTAAATAATAAAGAATAATAAAATGAAAAAAATGGGAGGATCTGGGAGTTTTGAGAAGAGAAGGACAAGAGACAATTAAAAGATGATATGATAGTCCTATTTAAGTATTTGAAGGGGTGCCATATTGAGGAGAGAGCAGGCTTGTTTTCTGCTACTCCAGGGAATAGGACCCAGAGCAAGGGATGCAAGCTATAGGAAAAGAGATTCCACCTCAACATTAGGAGG